TATAATCCAATAGATAATGTTCATTCTTCTTCACTATAATCCAATAGACAATTTTCGTTCGTCCTGACTATAATCCAATAGATAATGTTCGTTCGTCTTCACTATAATACAATAGACAATGTTCGTTCGTCTTCACTATAATCCAATAGATAATGTTCGTTCGTCTTCACTATAATCTATTAATCTTCACTCTTCTCCATTATAATCCAATAGACAATGTTTACTCTTCTCCATTATCATCCAATAGACAATATTCGTTCGTCTTCACTATAATCCTATAGATAATGTTCGTTCGTCTTCACTATAATCTATTAATCTTCACTCTTCTCCATTATAATCCAATAAAGTATGTTCATTCTTCTTGGTCATAATTCAATAGAGAATGTTCATTTTTATTTATAAACTAATAGAGAATAATTCCTCTAGAACCGACTATGAAATATATTTTACTTGAATGGAATGGTAACTACCTCATTGTGAAATATTCAAAGTTTTTTAAAGTACATCGGTCAATTTAACTTTGTTATTAAGTGGAATCCACTTCAGAATCTCTTTCGTTTTTAACACATCTGGAACAGACTTTATTAACTCTCTTTAGAGCGTATTTAAAACGTCCTAGTGAAACTAAATGGAAACAGTTCCTTTTCTAGGAATCATGTTAAAAATATGTTCTGTTTCTTTAGAACATTCTACTTGATGAAGTTTTCACTTTATTGTAGAACACATTACTTACTGTTGCGTTCTCTCCTTAATAGAATCTATTGGAATTCGATTTTTTATTGTTTACGGCATCTCACAGGTTGATATTTTCTGGTTCTTTGCTAGAATTTCCTTGAGTGAAAAAACCTCTCAAAATAGATATAATCTCTTCGGGAGTTTTTATTTGATCATCTCTATAAACAACTGGGAAATGTTTATCTGATTATTTCTATAATCTACTGCAGAATGTTTATTTGATCATTTCTTAAACCTATTGAGACATGTTTATCTGATCATTTCTTAAACCTATTGATACATGTTTATCTGATCATTTCTTAAACTTATTGAGGCATGTTTATTTGATCATTTCTTAAACCTATTTAGACATGTTTATCTGATCATTTCTTAAACCTATTGAGACATATTTATCTGATCATTTCTTAAACCTATTGAGACATGTTTATCTGATCATTTTTTAAACTTATTGAGGCATGTTTATCTGATCATTCCTTAAACTTATTGAGGCATGTTTATCTGATCATTTTTTAAACTTATTGAGGCATGTTTATTTGATCATTTCTTAAACCTGTTGAGAAATGTTTATTTGATCATTTCTTAAACCTATTAATAGTGTGAAACCAAGAGAAAATAATACTTTACAAACTTAAAGTTAACATTGTGAAACCAAGAGAAAATAATACTTTATAAACTTAAAGTTAACAGTGTGAAACTAAGAGAAAGTAATACTTTATAAACTTAAAGTTAACAGTGTGAAACTAAGAGAAAGTAATACTTTATAAACTTAAAGTTAACAGTGTGAAACCAAGAGAAAGAAATACTTTATAAACTTAAAGTTAACAGTGTGAAACTAAGAGAAAGTAATACTTTATAAACTTAAAGTTAACAGTGTGAAACCAAGAGAAAGTAATACTTTATAAATTGAACTACAAAAATTCTAATAATGACAACTCATCAATTCAAATATATTATTTCTAATAGGAAGTCGCTGATAGTGATTTGATTATTAGGACTGATAAATCCTTAATTGTAGTTCAACTTCCTTATTGAGGGTTTCAGAACGTTTGTTCATATTATGAACATTAAACGTTAAGTCGAGCATTGAAAATATATCTCTTTATAGACAGACACATCTAAAGTTTTAAACTTGCCCATCTGTACGTAAAATAAGTTAATAAAATCAACAATAGGTGACGCTGCAAGATGACCTTGAAACTGTACTTGCATATAATATAACGTCGTTAGGAATTGAAGTTAAAAGTGTGAGTTTGACGTAAGAGCTTATTAATGCAATCATCAATTAGTTTTGCTATTAAACTTTCAAAAGTTAACATTTTGAGAAAAATATTCAACATTAGATGATATGTTCCTTATATGTTGTTTTTTTTTATGTCCATCTTGAGTAGTGTTTCTCAAACTGGGGTTCCGGTCCAAAAAACGGGGTCGCGAAATCATAAAAATATTGCAATAATAATTTTTTAGAGTATCTACAGTAATTTGATATCTTTTTGTGTGAAATCGTTACAAACTGAATTATTTTCAAAAGGGGCTCAGTATAAAAGTTATCTCATCAAGTACACTGTACTTAGACTTCCAATCTTATTCTATGCTAGTCCGATATATAATGGTAATTCGACTAGTAATAATAAATTAGTTATGATACCTATTTCATGTAAAATTAGGGTTAAATGTATATATACAATAAAATACAGGACACCAGATGTCTAAACTCTTTTCTTTATTTTCGAAGAAATAAATTTTCTTATTTTTACATTACTTAGAGATTTTTCAATTTGATATGTTCCTAATGGAGACATAGTTTTGATATGCTCATGTTTAATTACAATTTTAATTACTTTATTCAACGCAAACCGAAAAAAATTATTTTAAACATAACGCTAGATCTCATGATTTATAAAAAATAAAAAACTTATGTGGCTGTAAGTCTCTTCTCAGTAACTTTTCGTGTTATTGGTTAATAAATTATTTAAATAGAGAGAAGTCTGTTTTCAATATTTGACACCAGGGTCGTAATACATTTATCTTTGGCTATGAAAAAACACTTACAACATCAGTGTTTCAAATAGAATATAAGAAAATGATAATAAAGCAGTATAAAATCACCAGTTTCTAAGTGCTCTTGTCCATCTTCTCAGAATCACACAATAAAAATATCAAAGCTGATTTCAATACAATGTTTCCATAAGGACTGCTATGCAGTAAAAAAAAAAATGAAGGGAAACAAGTGAAAAATT